CAAAGTTAATTTATATCAAAGTTAATTTATATCAAAGTTAATTTATAACAAAGTTAATTTATATCAAAGTTAATTTATATCAAAGTTAGACTCGGCGCGTGGGTGCGGTCCACTTTCAAGTAAAGTCCACTTGATTTACACAACAGATTTAAACTAGTCATTGAATTAATAAATGTACTGATGTTATTTGAGTCTTTCATATAGTGAACTTCTTTGTGAAACGAGAGCGCGCATCATTTGTTCAGGTTTTCAGATCATGTCTGTGTCAGAATCTGGGCTGCAAAACAAAAAGGCAACTTTTATTGCGTCTTCGAATAAAAACAGGCAACGCCTGTGGTCACATTCAAAACATTTCCTAATTACGATCAACACAACTTGTCACAAAAATGTCCACACATGCACAAATGTGCCAGAAAGGCCAGGGGTCTGCAAGCTTTGCAACAAAAAGAGCCATTTGTGCCACTTTGCTTCTTAATTCTGAGTCCGGAGCCACAGCGCCTGCAACAACTGGTCAACTGGTGGCCCATGGGCACTACAACTTGTTGGACATGGCTTTTCTGTCCAGTGGGGGTGATATTATAAGATGAAAAATGTCTAACTGTTATTGCATTAATTTATATTTTTACATTTTAATGCAAAAGAAAAGACCAGATTCATGTAAAGAAAGAAAAACTATATAATTTTTAATTTTATAAAAAGTTAAAACACTGAACTCTGCAGACCGACGTGAGTTCTCTTAATTGTTGAAGAATTAAGTATTCTACTTAAAGCATAAAGTTAAAGACGGTATAAAATTAGTTTGTTGGATATCCAGTTACATTTTTAAAGAAAAATAAATAATTTTGTTTACTTGGACTTTGTTCTTGTGTGTTTTAGTCTTCTTAAAGTCACTCACCGCCTTCCTGCAGCGACTTGTTGTAAAGATATTAGGAATCACGGTGGTGGTTTTGAGAGAAGGACCACGCTGGGAGACTGGAAGTGACTTTTAAGTGGCTAACAAACTGCTAGCAGGATGTGGTCCAGATGTTTTACGCCTTGCAGTTGTACTATTCTTCACATATTTGAACATGTGTGCTGAAACTAGCCATTTCCATTGTCGGTAATAATTGAAATAAATTCAGTTTTATTTCAGTTTTGGTCAAAGCCTGAAAGAGCCGCTGCAGAGGGACCACGGAGCCACATGTGGCCCCAGAGCCGCAGGGTCCAGACCTCCGGACGAGGCATAAAAGAAAGACCTTAACTTGATATTCTTTACTTGCAGATCCCTCAGATGAAATGGCGGTGAGGCAGAGGTTTTTCAACTCAACAGAGCCATTTTCCGGCCTACCCAAAGCCGAGCTGAAGGGGTCATACCCGTCCTGCTCCAGCACAGAGCAGGACATAGAAGAGGAGGAAGAGGAGGGGAAGGACACCAAGACATGCTCCCTTTCTGTCCCAGAGTGGGGAGTGTTTCCCCTTTTTACTAAACTCATTACACGGGGAACTGCGGAACAAGTGGGAGAATCACCAGTAAAGACCTCAACCATCATCGCTCAGGCTGAATGTAAATATCTTCACTTATTTTTATTAGTTTGACATAAAAACGTGTCTAGACTGAGCTTGGCGTCTGATTTTCTTGTTTAGGTGAAACCCAGGACTCTCAGGAGTTTAGTCCGTCTTGCTTTAAACGCTCTTTTGTTCCCTCCCCAAATTGCTTCACCAGCAGGTATGACATTGATCCAACACTCCCCAAATTTAAATTGTCTTCTTTGAGCCTCTGAACAATATACATATCTTTCATGTTTATTTCTCCAGTCATTCCTCGGAGCACAACAATGTGGCGTGCCCGACCACGGCCTCCGTCCATGAGCCGAGCAGCCGGTCAGTCAGTCACACGCAGAGAAGGAAGAACCGGAGGAAACAAAAGAGCACGGGGAAGAAAAAGCAGGAGAAGAAGAAGGAGACGCAGCGGCAGAGACACCGAACGCCGTCTGGAGTCCCCGAACAGGAGAGTGGGAGTTCTGTCAACCTGATCCAGGTGAGAACTGTTTCTTGTAGCTCAAACGTTCACTTCAGATCATATTTAGAGTCAACAAGGACCTCAGTGGAATAAATACAGTTGTACGAATAAACAGGCAGGTACGCAACTTCATGCTGTTCCAACAAAATAAACCAGTCGAAACACACGACTGGCTTAAAATGCATGGCTTCAGCTCACAAGTTCCCAGTTCTGCTTGAACTAGTTAAGCAACTTTCTCCTTTTTTAGAAGGATGTGAATAAATTAAATCAGAAGTAACAGAATGTAATGGAGACGTGACTAAATAAGATCTTATTTGTAAATGTGAGTATGATTGAAGTATCCTCTGTGCAGCACAGCATCATTCTCACTGTATCTCGGTACAACGATGATAAAGTTTATTCTGATTCAGATTTAGAAAGTTGTATTTTTTAGTGTAGGATCAGGACACGGCTGTTCCTGTGGGGATGAAACCATCATTTAGAAGGATTGTATTCACAATTGTGTTTTTCTTTATACACAAACCTTTGTCTCTGAGAACCATTTGATGAAATAGATGATAACGTACTTACATGTTCTTTTAGAAGGTAAAGCACTGCCTTCCAGCATGGCCTTTGCAAATACTTGCCTTCCTGAGTTGTGGAAGTGGAACACGATTTAAAAAGCCTGCGTGCCGTGTCCTTCAACGTTCAGTCCTGAAGAACGCAAACGTACTTTTGTTGGATCGATTGTTACTTTTTGTTCCGCAGGAGGAGTCGTCTCTCGGAGGGAGCGACCTCAGCTCGTCCTGCTGCGGCAGCATTGAAAGCCTGGTCGAGCAGGATCGAGGACATCCTTTCTACTCCACGTCGGTCTACGACACCAGTCCCAGCTGCTCGCCTCTGAACTGGCCCGGCCCGGCCCTGTGCCCCCTCTCCACCTTCCAGTCGTACGAGCAGGACACAAGCTCTGACTCCCTCAGCAGACTGGGAGACTGTTCCCTGGCCCTTGCTGGTCTCAGGGGCAGTGTCAGTCAGGGGGACCGCTGCTACGCAGGGCCCTTCTTCAAGGATGTGGAAAGAGATATGAGTGAAAGTGAAGATGAGCTCTCCTGTGAAGATTCAGGGAACAATGAAGGAATCATTTTTTACAATGAAGTACGTTCTTCTCTTGCTTGCTCTCGTTTCTGTTGGCGATGTTCCCCACATAAGGCGTTTCATTTGGACTGACCCGTTTCTTTATGTTTCATAAAGAACATACAGCTCATGGACTCTGAGTACAAAGAAGGGAGAGAATTCATCTTGTCCACTTTCATCAAACAAGGTTCCTACGGTGAAGTATACGGTGCTCAAGATCTCAACACAGGATACAAGTATGCAGTCAAAAAGGTGAACGAGCACGAGAACCTTTTGCTTCTTCCCACCGTCTGATTAAGATATTAAGATTAAGATAAGCTGTGTGAAGTCTTATTTTGATGTTTGCAATGTGTTGTTGCAGATTGCCCTGAAGAGGTTCAGCAGTGAGGAGGTGGGTGCGTGGAGTACCCTCAGATCTCCTCGAGTGGTGGAACTCTTTGGAGTAATACGAAATGGACCTTATGTGCTCCTTTTGATGGAGCAGAAATATGGTAAATAAGCCTCCCCCCCTCCCTCCCTCCCTCCCTCCCTTCCTCCCTTCCTTCCTTCCTTCCTTCCTTCCTTCCTTCCTTCCT